CCCCGAATAGAACGCACGGTAGTTATCTCCGTATCTAGACTGAAAGGTGTGCTGAATGCACCTGTAATTACCGCATGTTCTATTGTAATTACTGTTAAAAAAAATAAAAAAATAAAAATTTTGTAATTACTGTGCGTTCTATTCAGGGGAAGACGGTAGGGTACACACCCCTGAAACTGTTGATGGTGATATCTGCAGGTCTGGATCTGCCTTTTCGGCAGATTGCCGTATCTAGACCTGAGTTAGCTTGATAAAGTCACAATTAATGATTTTCTGTTTTTTTTTCCCTTCTTTTTTTGGTAAAGGTCACATGCAACCCCACGCACTCCGCTTTCGAAAAACGAAAAAACAAACAAACAAAAAACCGAAGAGAACAAACCAACAAAGCCGAGGAAGAATTGTAATAATGTGCAGATGAGACGATGATTATGTAGATGATTGATTGATTGAGTGAGTGAGTGAGCGAGATGTGTATAAGAGACAGCATGCAACCCCACGCACTCCGCTTTCGAAAAACGAAAAAACAAACAAACAAAAAACCGAAGAGAACAAACCAACAAAGCCGAGGAAGAATTGTAATAATGTGCAGATGAGACGATGATTATGTAGATGATTGATTGATTGAGTGAGTGAGTGAGCGATCGCGTGATTGATTGGTGATAATGATGGTTGACTGATGATCGGTTTTTGATGGTGGTGGTGGTGGTGATGATGATGATGATGATAATGATTGATTGATGGATGATGGTGACGAGTATATTAATTGGTGGTGATGATGATTGATTGATGATGATGGTCATTGATTGATTGATTGATTGATTGATTGATTGATGATGATGGTCATTGATTTGCTTGCTTGGTGATGGTGGTGGTGATGATGATGATGATTGATTGATTGATTGATTGATTGATTGATTGATTGATAATGATGATGACTGATGACTGAATGAGGATTGATTGATGATTGACTGATGATGATCGATGATGATTGATTGATGATGATTGACTGATGATGATCGATGATGATTGATTGATGATTGATTGATGATGATTGATTGATGATGATTGATTGATTGATGATTGATTGATGATGATTGATTGATTGATGATTGATTGATGACGATTGATTGATTGATTGATGATGATTGATTGATTGATGATGATTGATTGATGATCGGTTGATTGATGATGATTGATGATGATTGATGATGATTGATGGTAAGGAGGCGGAGGAGAAGGAACAAATGAAGGTAGAGCAGATGCATAGTCCAATCCGAGATTCGAACTCACGACCTTCGGCTTGCCAGGCGGACGCGTAGCCACTAGGCTGTGGCTAAAAAGGGAAAAAAGGGGCCGATGGTGGTGATGATAATGGCGAGGAGGACGAGATGGCATACTCTTTCTTTTTCTTTTTGATTTGGTGTAGGAGGAGGAGAGGAGGAGGAGGAGAGGAGGAGGAGGAGGAGGAGTAGGAGGAGGAGTGGGGAACCGTACACATGACAGATAGGAACCTTCTTTCCTTCTTCTAATTATTTTACAAGTGGGTTTATTCTTTGAATGTTCCCACAGCAGCAACTCTATCCTTTGGGGTCCCGACGGAATTCCACACCCTTCAGCGGTGCGAGTATAGGCGTCCCTTGTGGCCTGGAAGGGTCATGGAAATTGCCGAGATTTGAGCTTTTAACCTCTGGATCATAGACGTACGACCCGTGCGTGCATGGACGCTCTACAGCTAATGCATGCATGCATGCGTGCGTGCATGCCTATGTGCATGCGTGCGTGCATGCGTACGCTCTAAAGCATATGTATGCAGCGTCGTGCGTGCATGCGTGCGTGCTTGCGTACGTGCATTCATACGTGCATGCGGGCGTGTACATGCATGCGTACGCTCTAAAGCATATGCAGCCTCTAAGAGCATACGCACACTAGGCGCTGAAAACCGGAAAGTAGCAAAATCAGCGGGCGGCCGGATAGAGTCCTCACTTTACAAGGACTGCATGTGGCCGCTGATATTGCGATTTTGCAATTTTGAGGGCCTCGTGCGAGTTTGCCCTAAAGCTATGAAGGAGTGATGATCCTTATGCATGCTTGCGTGCGCGCATGGAGCCCTACGTGCATGCAGCCGTACAATGCATGCGTACGTGCATGCATAGTACAATGCATGCGTACGTGCATGCATAGTACAATGCATGCCTACGCACATGCGTACGTGCACGTGTACTATGCATGCCGACGTGCACGTGTAGTATGCATGCCGACGTGCATGCATACTATGCATGGGTACGTGCTTGAGGGTCTCATGCATGAAGGGTGTAAAGCTATTCAGGAGTGATGATCCCCTTTTTATGACGAGCTTGAGGGTCTCGTTGCACTGCTCTCGGCGAATGCCAGGAAAATGGTGAATGCATCTTACCGCTTTCTGGTGCAAGATGCACTAGCGTGTATTTACTTAGGATTTACATTTTCTTCACGACGAGCTTGGGGTCCTCTTTCCCGGTGAAAAAAAAAAAGAGGTCCTCTTTCCCGGTGGAAAAAAAAAAAGAGGTCCTCTTTCCCGGTGCTAAGTGGGGAAGACGATAGGGTAGTGAAAAGAAGCGAGAGGAGGAGGGTTATATACTGTAGGGGCTTCCAAGGGAGGGGCAGTTGTCAGATTTCAAAGATAGACATGCCAGGGGAAAAGAAGTGAGGACTTCTCAGAAAAAAAAAAAAAAAAAAAAAAAAAAAAAAAAAAAAGAGAGAGAGGGGACAACAGAAGAGGGTTGCAGAGATGTGTTAGGAGCAAAAAAAAAAAAGACCCCACAGAGGAGAGTGGGAAGGCCCTGTGAAGGACAATTTGGCGTCAGGTGCATCATGAACTTGGTCGACAATTTCGACCAGGTGTATCATGAACATGGTGGGAGATTTGAAGTCAGGTTATGGTGGGACAATGTGGGTCAGCTATGGTGGGTGCATCGTGAACATGGTCCTGATTGCGAAGGTCATTCATGCAATTTGGTTAGTGGTACTTAGTACCCAAAACCCAAATTGTAATTGTGCATCTCACATGTGGGTATTGTTCCATTTTTTCAAAATTTAAGTTAGAAAAAAAGAAAAAAAAAAACAATTAAGGTCAGGACTCTGCAGGCATGGTCTCCAGACAGTAGTCTCTTTTCCTTTCGGAAATTGCATTGCCCCCTCCCCTCCCCCCTCTCTCTGCTACCCCCATCATTTCCGTTGTTGATTATGGTAGTTCACCCCCCTCTTTTCTAAGGCATCCCCTTTTTGACTCTGGAAACCCCTCCCCCTGCCCGCTCCCGCTCTTCCACCCTGCCCTGTCTCCTCTCGCTTCTCTAAGGCATCCTCCATCTGATGCTGCAGGCTTTGGCATCCCTCGTGGTGCTCTGTGTTGCTGAGCTGCCATGCACCCGACCCCCACTTTCATTGTGTGGGGTCACCACACCCAATAACCCCTCCTCATTAGGTATGGACAGGTATAGGTGTTATGAAATTGGTTGTTTGACAATTGAGTTGCCACTCACACACAACAGAACTGACACATGCCAATACATGCACAAGTCAGGGGGAGAAAGAGACAGAGTCCACCTGCACACACACCAGAGATGAACAGCGGAATAGCAACCATGCACAGATGGGGAGAATTCACACCCAGTGTTCTCTCTCTCTGATAAACTCCCAACAACCAATCACAATTGAAACTGCGAAGATCACAATCGGAAAGTGTCTCAGATGATGAGCCAACTCAACACAGTTAACCCCAATAATCGTTACAGAGTTTAACCCAGTGTCTCGCCACTCAAGTCCCACTCACACCACTCGCTCCTATCCACTCAGAGGTTAGCGCTGTATTGAAACAGCCTCCTGGAGGCCAGCGCCATACACCCAGATGCAGACCATGAATAGCGAAGTAGCTCTCAGTGCCAAAGAGTCTCTCTGACGATGAAGAAGGCAGCTATAGCTGCCCAGCTGCTACCGCAGCAGCAGTACCCACATGTACTCTGTGAAGACCTCCCGGATAGTCCTGCCAACGCAGATATCCCCCAGGGGATAGATGCGCTGAGTACAGCCCCAGCTCTGGCTGTCTCAGGTGGCGGGCTATGGCTGCTCCACTCACGGSTGATGTCTYCGGYGCCACTRCAGAYATTCAGCGCTGCTCAACTTGGTTGGCCACCAACGCTGCATGCGAAAAATGAAAGCCAAAAGTCCCACTATCAGTTTACTTCCTAGCMTTRTAGATTCCTACACTAGCCTAGACCGAAACTGGACTGACTGGACCTACCGGTACCGTTGCTGTTTCTCGGCCTCTCGGCCTCTACCGGMCCCGGCTATAGGCTATAGGACCGTATACCAGTATAGGCYGCTTAGGGCCTGTCTGTCCTAGGGTAGCCCGGGCCTGCTATAGGCAGTTAGGGTAGTAGTAGTAGGGATTCGGTTAGTTTAGGGCCTGTAGTCCCTCAGAATTACAGGTCTGTCCCTCTCGAATTTCCCAACAGGCAAGTCACTCGGTTAGCCCTCAGCCAAACAAAATTGCGAATCTAACCCTACTCTTAGTGTACAGCCTCGCAGACAAACTCGACAGCAGAAATCAGCAAATGATTGCAGGCTTACCCTCCCCGAGAGCGAGGACCTCCGAGCTAGGGGTGCAAACGAGGTGAGCGGCGAAGGTCACCCTTCTGAGCCGCCTCATACCGCAGAACTACAGACTTTGCTGTCTTGATCAGGTCTCTTCTGTAGAACCATCGGTTCTCAGAAGGAGGCTGGAACGCAAACCTGACAAGATACTGCCGGTCGGGGCCAGTGCCCCACTCGTCCTCAATGGCCACCACATCATATCCCTTACCAGGGATTGGTGGGCCCTATTGAGGGGGCCGGTCTGGGAATGCATCAGTTGGTATGAAAGGCAACAACTTAGATGCATGGAAGACCGGATAGGTTCGTAGATGCAGGGGCACGTCAATGATGTACGATGGGCCAAAAGGATCAGCGCCCACTGTATCTAGAACCTGCCACGGACCCAGGTAGCGTGGCAACAGCTTGGGAGAAATATCCTCCTCCCTCGACAACTCAGAACTGGCCACCCAGACATAGTCACCAGTACGGATGGGGGAAGGCCGCCTGTGGCGGTTAGCTTGTTCAATCATGGCCTTTTGGGCCTTGAACAAGTTCGCCCGGGCTCTTTCCACATCCAGACGATAGCGTCTGGCGAACTCCGCAGTGCCTGGGGTAAGGTCAGGCTTAGCCTTGTCGATGATATCATCGAGAGGCTGTCGTGGCTCACGTCCCCAATGTAACCGGTAGGGACTGAACCCTGTCGAGGAGTGGACAAACATGTTATACATGAGTTGTGCCCTCGCCAAGTGGAGATCCCAGTCCTGCTGATCAGGGGAGATCATAGGACGTAGCAACTGGAACAGGACGTGGTTCATCACTTCAGCCAATCCATTGGCTTCAGGATGACGACCATAAGTCATGTCCAGGCGTGAGTGCAGATAGTCCTTGCAGTAGAACTGCCACTCATCGCTGCAGAATCTGGGGTCTCGATCACTCACAATAGAGGTGGGCGGTCCATGGTGGGTGACCCACCTCGTAGAAAAGGCTGCTCTCACAGCCGGTACCCTGGCTACCTCTGGCAAGGGGATGAACTCTGCGTATTTGGAGAACCTGTCCACGCAGACCATGACCTGACGCATGCCACGAGGGGTAGTCTTGCCTAAGTCTGTGAAATCAATAGACACAGACTGGGCAGGACCATCAAGTATGGGCAAAGGTTTGAGCAATCCCAAAGGAGGTTTACGTTGAACCTTGTTCCTTTGGCAAAGCTCACAGGTGTCCACATAGCGCAGCATACCACTCCGCATCTCCTTCCAGAAGAAGCGCTGCGACAGGGCTGCATATGACTTTAGGAACCCAAAGTGTCCACGCGCGTCGTGGCACTCTGACATCAGCAGTGTCCTCAACTGCTGATCCTCAGGGATGCACAAGCGCTCCTCTCCTCTACTGTAAGTATACAGCAGTTCTGAACTCAGGGCATAGCCAAGCTCAGAATTAGGATCTGCTCGCAGATTCCTGACGATGGGTCCATAAGTCGGATCCTGAGGCAGCAAACGAGCGATGGTCTGACGGACCTCCTCTCCAAAGGAGTGAGTAGAGGAGATCAACGCAAAGGAGTCAGGCCTACGAGAGAGGGTGTCTGCTACTTTGTTGTAGCAGCCCTTCTTATGCTTTAGTTCAAAGTCAAACAGATCAATGAACTAGATGTAGCGTGCCAGTTTATCATTCAACTCTCCCTGGGACTTCAACCACTGCAAGGTGGAATGATCAGAAAAGATCTTGAAGTGCCTGCCCAGGAGAAAGTGCTTCCAATGTTTCAGGGCACTGACAAGAGCATCTAGCTCTTTCTCGTAGGTAGAGTCTTGAAGCTTCTGAGTTTTGATCTTCTTACTCATAAACTCTACAGGTCTTAGACGATTACCATCATCCTGCTGAAGGACTGCCCCAATGCCATATTGACTGGCGTCAGTGGTGAGAACAAATGGCAGAGTGGGGTCAGGCAACTTCAGAACAGGTGCACGAGTCAAGGCCTGTTTGAGTCGTGCAAAGGTCATCTGACAGTGGAGGGACCAAAGAAAGGGAGTGTCTTTCTTCGTGAGGTTGGTCAGGGGTGCAGCCACAACAGAAAAGTTCCTGACGAACTTTCTGTAGTAGGAGGCCAGACCCAAGAATGACCGGACATCTCTCACTGTCTGAGGTTGTGGCCAATCCTGAATAGCAGCAACCTTGGCTGCTTCAGGGGCCAAACCATCTCCAGAGATTACATGACCCAGGTAGATAACAAAGGGAACTCCAAAAGAGGATTTCTCCCTGTTGATCTTGTACTGGCTGTCACGTAACGACTGAAGGACTAGAGCCAGGTGCTCCGCATGTTCCCTGTTAGTTTTGCTGAATACCAGGATATCATCCAGGTAGACAACCATAAACTTATCCAGGTACGGCCTGAATATTCGGTGCATCTCAGTCTGGAATGTACCAGGTGCATTGCAGAGTCCAAATGGCATCACCAGGTACTCATAAGTACCATACCTGGTTTTGAAGGCCGTCTTGTGGACGTCCTCCTCTGCCATCTCAATCTGGTGATACCCAGACTTGAGGTCGACTTTGCTGAAAATGGTGCAACCCTGGACCATATCCAGAAGGTCATCGATCCTAGGGAGTGGCTCTGTGCTCTTCCTAGTGATCTTGTTGAGACCCCTGTAGTCGATGCACATTCTGAATTCCCCACTCCCCTTTGGAACAAAGAGGAC